CGTGTCCCCGCATGGCATGCCGTGTCCCCCTCTCCTAAGCCGTGAGTTCATGTGACTGATAAATTGCCGTGGATGTCATCTGGTCAGTGGCAGGTGTCATATACTTGGCCATCTCCAGAACCCTAAGGCAGGAATCCCTCCCTCACCAGTGGGGTAGATGGGAGGTGATAAAAAAAAAATCAGAGGCCCTCGGAGTTATCCAGATATGGGGTTCTTCTCCACACACAGCCTGAGTGGTCACAGGCCACATTACTTCCCAAGGGCTGGACAGGATGATAAAGAGTTATTCCTGGGATAGGGGTGGGGGCTAAGCAGGTTCCTAACTACTTTCCAGGAATTCTGAGCTGTGACTCCATGGTCCCTGCTCAGAGGAGGAGCCTCACAAGGCACTTTTAGAACATGTCTCACCTTCTAGGCATTCATCCTCCCATTTTATAGTGGTGCTCACAGTGGGTCCTTTCTCCCTGAACTTGACAACTGAACAGAAGTTTAGCCTCCTAAGGGTGTCTGAAGCCACTCAGGAACCTCCCCCAGCCCCAAGCCAGCACCGCCTGGCTGCCGTCAGGGTTCCCTGCACATTGAGAAATAGCCTCAAGGTGACCACCAGGGGGCAGCCGCATTCCTTCACTGCATATATAGCCTGATGAAAAAAATCCAGTTTTTGGAAATATCTACAATACTTGCTTACAGCTTTACTAACCTCAGGTAGACAGATGGACGAATGCACTTGAGGGGTCAATTGCTCTAAATCTCCTGACTCTTTTTTGTATTTAGGTTTGACCCTGCTTACCTAAAGAATTTACCAATCCATGTCAATCCATTCATAGCTTTCTGTACATTTCTTTGGTCCTCCGGCCCTCACAGCCTTTGCTTACCTCCCTTAGCCTATTTCATACTGACGTCTCATTTGCACGAATGCACTTGAGGGGTCAATTGCTCTAAATCTCCTGACTCTTTTTTGTATTTAGGTTTGGCCCTGCTTACCTAAAGAACTTACCAATCCATATCAATCCATTCATAGCTTTCTGTACATTTCTTTGGTCCTCCGGCCCTCACAGCCTTTGCTTACCTCCCTTAGCCTATTTCATACTGACGTCTCATTTGCGCCCGTAGAGAAATTGTCTGCCGATGTGGACTTAAGATAGGGCACACTCTCGAGAGAGCCATCTGCGTTATTCTGCTCCCACACAGCCCTGCCTGGAGATTAAGAGATTATTAAATCCTTAGAGTTTTCTCGCCTGTCACCTAATTTCTAACTCTTGCTGTGGCTACTGCCAAATTACCATAGCGTCCTGAGGGGAACCTAAGTTCAGAGGCAAGGGCGAAGGCAATATCTCGCATCTCATTCTCATTATTTGCAACTTGGCTTTTTTTCTTCTTTAATGGCCTGGTTCACATCTGGACTACTTTATGTCTCTCTAAGCAGACACCTCGTTATACAGTGCGGATGATTTTAGGATCACTTTTGAGAGTAAATTGTCTGATATTCTAAGTGATATTATAAGAAAATTATCGACTTGAGTCAGTGTACACAGAAAAATAAACTCAGCAAATTCACAGCCCCCCTCCATCACTGCGTACGCTGTCTCTGCTCTTGTGGCAATGGCGATAGCCTTTCTGAGCACTGTCTGCCATCCCCTCCCCTGCCATCCCTTCCCCAGCTCACAGGCCTCCAGGAGCCCTTGGTGGGTTGAGGCTGCAGGAGGAGGGAAAGGACCGAAGTTAGGGATGCAGAGTGCCCACTGGCTCCCTTCTGTAAGCAACCAATGACCTTGGGTGTGTCCCTGAATCCAGCCGAGCCTCAGTTTCCCTGGCAGTTGTCTAGCTAACCTCCATGGAGCTCTTCAAAGCCATCTGTACAGGGATTGCACACCACATATCTTTTCTGGTGAAGTTTAAAGTCATTCACCCAGCCAGGCCGGGGGGCTCCAGGAGAGGTGCAGTGGAGTGACGTTCTTCATGTTGGCTAATTCATGCCAGCTCATGTTAGCCCTCGGCCCTGTGGGGGGCTCAGGAGCCTAATTCTTCTGCACATAGGGTCGACCCACTCCTCCAGGGCAGACTCATAATAACCAGTCTCAAGAATGTGAGAAGCAAAATCGGAGTTGTAATGTCCTCTCTGGCAGTGACAGGGAGGGGACACGGATCCTGATGAGTGGGATGTTCTTGGAGTGTCAGGTGAGGACAGCCTGATATAGCATTTCATAGTGGGGCTGGGAGTGTGGGTCTCTCAGCCCAGGGCCACACCTGGGGAAGTGCCTGTTCCTGCTGCCCCGTGGCTGGGCCGGGTCCCCTCTCAGACTCTGTTTATGCCTGTGTCATGTGTGGCCTGGGGCTGGCTGGGATCTATTCTTTCTCTCTAAAGCAGAGGTTGTTAATTGGTGACCTTTGGGCAGAATCTAGCCCAAGGTCATATTTTGCTTGGACCACATAATTAAAAAAAATTAAATTAGTAGCCAATGTGTAACAATCAGGAGATTTCATGGCTTCTCTTACAACATCCAGAACTCTATCAAGACTGTGCCCACCTTCCCCATGGCTGCAAATGCCAGGGGCTGAGTGGCAGCCTCTCCTGGACAGCTTGCCACAGTTGCCCTCTGGGGCTTCGCTCCCTTGTGTTCTATCTGCAGGCATTGCAGCGGCTACGTCTCTGTCTGACAGGCTGGGTGTTGATGCCAGAGTGGAACTACCCATGGACAACCTCATTTTTCTTTTTCCCAAGCCCCTAGGGCTGCCTTGTCAGAGCCCCGTAAGAACTGATTAATATCATCTTCTAAAAGGAGGTATCAAGAGAATACACATCACAGATCATGATAAAAGACTTTAATTTTTTAAAATCTTATTATTTTTAATTAAAACAATTGATTATACATATTTGTGGGGTACAGAGTTGACTATCAATCGTTGTGTATAATATGTGATGGTCAAATCAGGATAATTAGCTTATTCATCATTTAAAAAAATTTTATGAATACCACAAAAAGCAGCATTGTCCTAGCCAATGAACATAAAATATTGCAAGCAAAATATTAAGATTCTGTTTTTAAAGAGCTTAGAAAAGTACCTGGCACATACCAAGCACTCTATGCATGAGAAATCAAAATTTAAACTATGGCAACAAACACGTGAAAATCTGTGGCTCAAACCATCTCCCCCTCCCCTCTCTCCCACCCCCTTTAAAACCAAGGGGAAACGGAGGGAGGAGTTAAGAGGTTTGTGGGTGCAGGCACATGAGCCGGATGCCTGATCCTTCAAGGACAGGGAGGACTAAAGCTCCTGGGATCTCCCTCTGCCTTAAAAGGCCCAGGAATCTTAGTGGGGGAGAGAGAACCGGTGATAAAAGAGCCGGTCCTTGGGCCTGGAATGTCAGCGTCAGAAGTGCCACTTGCTGGGCTCACACCACGGGTCTCACGTGCTCTGGGGCCCTCCCCAAACCCGCTTTTCCTTCAGTCTGGGCAATACATGTCTGTCTGAAGCAGGGTCTGTCTCCCACAGGGGCCATGAGAGCCAGCAGCCATAACCAGGCTTCTCGTGGCACACGAACCCTGAAACAGTAGGCGAAATGTGTCTCTGTGCATTTTTCAGGTGGAGGGAGGATCATGTCTTTTATTGAATTTTCAGAGGACTCTGTGACTCAAAGAACCACTCCTCTTTAGGACTGCAATAATTCAGAGGCTGATCCACACCAGGGTTCTGCCCCAAAGAACACACAGGCCTCCAACCACACACAGGAATCACTGTTTATCATGTGAAAGGAGGACTGGGATGAAACTGGGACAAATTTGTCCATTTGAGGATGGCCAGAGATACTTATGCGCTGCTTTTAACTTAAATTACGTGCGGGTTTTTAAATGTTTTGTTTTATTGCAATATTCCCTACTCTTCGGGAATGCCCAGCAGGCGAGCTTTCAGGATGCCACGTTGCAGAGGGTCCTGATGCTGCAGAAGGCAGATGGAGAAGAGGCCGGCACTCAAGGGTGCTGGAACTCTGTGACTCTCAGGGCAGGTGGCACCAATGGAGCCCTTCTTCTCCCTGCCGTGAGCAGCTCCTGCAGGTACCAGCCTCCTCCACCCCAGCCCCTTGTCTGCCTACAAGGGAAGGAGGGCTGAGAGGCGCTGCTGCTGTGTCTCTCGGGTGGGGAGGGAGGTAGCACATTTGTTTGCTAGGGCTGCCATGTCCAAGAATCCCAAATTGGATGGCTCAAACACCTGATATTCAGTGTCCCACAGTTCTGAAAGCCAGAGGTCTGAAATCAAGCAGGGCCACACTTCTTCTGAGACCTGTAGGGGAGAAGCTTTCCTTGGCTCTTCCAGCGTCTGCTGGTGGCCATCCACCCATTGCATCCCTTGCTTGCACCTCATCACTGCAATCTCTATCTCTGTCATCACCTGGTGTCTCTCCCACATGTCTGTGTCCAAATTTCCCTCTTATAAGGACGCCAGTCATTTCGGATGAGGGCCACCCCAATGACTTCTTCTTAATTTGATCATCTGCAAACACCCTACTTCCAAATAAGGTCACATTCACAGGTACCAAGGGTTAGGGCTTGAACATATCTTTTCAGGGGGCAGAATTCAACCCACAAAAACAGGCACAAATAATCAAAAGGCCCTGCCACCTCAGTCCCAGGAGTTGCCAGTGCGCACACCCACTCCTTCCCTGTTCCAAATAAGGTCACATTCACAGGTACCAAGGGTTAGGGCTTGAACATATCTTTTCAGGGGACAGAATTCAACCCACAAAAACAGGCACAAATAATCAAAAGGCCCTGCCACCTCAGTCCCAGGAGTTGCCAGTGCGCACACCCACTCCTTCCCTCGGGCTCTTGGGGTGGTGGGGGTGCCCCTCCTGCCACCCATGGTAGCTGAGCACCTTCTCTTGGTGTACATTCTGAAGGGGACGTCTCTTCTCTTCCATCTCAGTCCTGTTGGAAGCATCTAGACTGAGATGTGTGAGTGGTAAGCGTGTGTGTGTCTGTGAATACAAGTGTGTGTGTGTTTGGGGGGGAGATGTGTGAAGGGCAGGTGCAAGGCAGGAGTGGGGCTTGGAAGGACAGGACGAGGACAGAGCCACAGGGGAGAGCATAGATGAGACAGGATCAGCAGCGCACTGTTAGTGACACACGTGGGGAACATCACGCATTTGTGTGCCATCCCATACATAGGTGTATTAGTAAGGTTATTGGTTCTGCTGCTTCAACAGAGATCAAAATAACAGTGGCTTAAGGAAGAGTGGAGTTAAGTTCTGTCCCCTATAAGTCTGAGCTGGTGGGTGGTTCAGGAAGGCAGTGAGACCCTTCTACGTGACGCTGCTCAGGGGCCCCTGTTGTTCTGCCTTCTGTGAGTGCACTGTTCTTTCCTGGAGTCAAAGCTTCTCACCACCTCATCCGTGTCCCAGCCACCAGGAAAGGGAACAGGGAAAGTGACCTTGCTAGCTGCAAGGAAGTCTGGGAAATGCGGCTCTCATTCTCAGAGGCTAAGTTCTCAGGGGTTCTGCTAAATTTAACAAGGCAGGAACTGATATTGGGGAACAACTGACAGTCTGTTATAGAAGGAATATGATGTTAGAAACATAGTGACATTCATCCACCCCCCACCCCTTACAATAGCCAAATGCAAAGGCCGATGGTAGCCATGTGATGAAGAGTGAGAGGCAGGGCATTCGAGAAGTCAGAAGGTCAGGCGTCTGGGTTTAACGGCTGTGGCTTCATGACAAGTGCTGCAGCTCGGGAAGGTGTGCGGTGGGTTGTTCCACAGCCAGCTGGTTTTCGATGACATAGCATGCTCTGTAGCTCTCCAGGACCCGGGCCTGCAAGTACGCCTTGCCCTTCTCCTGCCAGGCATCCGACTCAATGTAGACGTTGAACGGGTCATGCGAGTGCTCCAGCTTCTTGGAGCGGATGTAGCTCAGCATGATGCCCAGAGTGAAGAAACCGAAGAAGCCGAGCACCAGGAGGATGTAAAGCACAGCCAGCTCGCTGTCACCATCGCGGGGGGACCGGCGGGCCAGCTCCGATGCATTGCTGCCCCGTTGCGCCATCTCCTGCCACAGCTGGTTCAGAAAGGGCGTCACGGCTGTGGCATTGGGCAGGACCATCCTGGGTTTCAAGTTTCCACTGCTGGACAGCGAACTTCCCAGGCAAACTTCCTGCAAGAAAAATGTAACCTGAAATCAAAAAGCATGTATCGGCTCAAACCACACATACACCCACACACACGCACACGATTCATACAAATCTCAGGTGAGAGGAGTGGCTGACATACTCTTCAGTCTGTGATATGTGCCACCTGGGGGCTGCACAATGCCCTCTCTTGATCGATCAATTGATGAGTCGATTCCCCTTTATTTCCACTCACCACTCCCACTCCAGGTGACCATCAGGATGAGTTCCTTTGACGTGCATCGTTGCATGTTGTTGTTATGCTGCGTTGCACGTATGCATCTTAGTTTACATAAATGGTATCAGATCATATGTCTCATTTGGTCTCTTTCCTTTTGTCCTCACCCTTGGGTTTGCCATGTGTGTGCATTTTCTTCCTTCCAGCTGTTGAGTAGACCCCGTAACAAAGACTCACTTCTTTTCTCAGCCCGCTCCCTAGAGATGAACTCTGCTGTGGCCACTAACTCCATAAACAAAGGGGGGACAGACACCCTCATCCTTGTCCTCCTACGGATCTGATGGAAGCACACATTCACACTAGTGCCCGGTAGTCTACAAAACTAGTCAGACAGGTGCTGTTAGTGTCCTGACCTTGGAGCACCTCTCTAGGGACAGCCACATTCATCTGAATGGAGAACCCACCCTATCACATGGTGGACTTCGGCGTGACATGGTGCGATTTCACACAGAGCTCCCTTCTAAGGGTTACAGCTGGTGCTGTGTTTGCCCCTTTCTGCCCACCACACTGCCCTGAATGGCTAGCCTGGCCGTGTAGAAAGTGACATTTTCCCCCATTGCTTTAATCTTGATGTCACTGTATCTGAATGCCCCTAATAGGCCTTAGAATTGTAAAAGTTGTCTCCAGTCTCCAAGTAGCTGTGGAATTCTGTTGAGGGTTTCATGTGCTCTGAAAACTCCATCTAAGTGGCCTTGAGATCACGGGTAAATTAAAACAGATTTTATTCATTTTTTTGTTTGGGCAAATGCCGGCCTCTACCTCCAGTTCTTGCTGGGAAACAAAAGCCCCAAGGCCAAGTCGTGGAGGCCACACTCCAAACTCACTCCAGAAGGGTCCCCTGGAGCTTATTAGATATAAGTGGTCCAGCTCATTTCCTACGAGCTTCCCAGTAGCTGAGTAGCACATACTGTTGAGGCCCCCTTGGGGCGACTGTCGTAACCAGAGGTAAAAAGCGTGTTTGGGAACACAGTTTCTGGACAGAATCACTGTGGAAGGAGAAACTCCACCATATGCTGGGGCAGCTTGGCCTTTCCCAGGTAGATGAGGACTGAGACATTGCATGTCATCTTGCCCAGGACGACTGTCGACCTCAGAAGCCTGGCCACTTCTTCACAGAACCTAGAGCCACTTCTTCACAGAACTGTCAAGTTAAATACATGCACCAAACCCAGCACCAGGCGAAGACGTTTGGCACCTGTCCGAGGACCCTCTTCCTCTACCCATCCCTGGACTGTATCTGAAACTTCTCCGCTCTTCCCACTCTCCTCTCTCCCTGGGCGGTTGCTCCTGCACCTTCAGGTTCGCCCACCAGGCCTCCCTTCTAAGCGCCAGAGCCGTGTGTCCAGAGACCTGCCAAGGAGACATTTCCCTTTGGCCATCCCCAGGCTCCTCAACCTCAACACCTTCCTCTCCACTGGCCAGAGCTGGTCCATGCCTCAGCAAGCTGAGCGCCAATATCACCCACCACGGAATCTGAGTCACCCTCACTGCAAATCTCACCATGTCATTCCCCCCAGATCCAAAGCCTTGCTTGTCTCCTCCCTGTCTTCTTGGTGAAATGCCCTGAATTCAGCCTGGATGCAGGCCCAAAGTTCGAGGGTCCCTGCCTCCCTCTCCAGTTCCACTATTGCCACTGTGCCCAGACCCTGTGCTCCAGCCCTGCTGTCCCCTTGCTAAACCTCGCACACAGTGTTACGTCTTTGCACGTCTCCAGCACAGACGGCACCTCCTTCCTGGTCCAGGAAACTCCTACATGGTGCCTACTCATGCTTTAAAATTCAGCTCAGCTCTCACCTCCTTCTGAAGCCTTCTCTGATGTATAGGGCTGGTTTAGCACCACCCACACCATGTCCCCGGCCAACTTCATTATAGTCATGGATCTCCAGCACACAGCCACACAGGAGCTCCCCGTGAATGTTCACTGAATAGATGCCACCAGCACTTAATACCTCTTCATGGTGGGAACCTGATTCTTTCTAACCCACTTACTCTAATGAACGAGCTGGATTCAGAGCTTTAGTTAACTCGTGTCCCATCCTGGACCACGGTCTCAGAGAGCACGAGTGGAGAAGTAGAAAGAGCTCACACTTTTGAACGCCACCTCCATCCTGGGCTTGGATTCTGGCCTTGCTACTTCTGGTCACATGACCCTGGACATCAGCCCTGCTTGGTTGTGTCTTTTCCTTGCTAAAATAGGGAGAAATATCAGCGACGTTTGAAGGCTGCTGTTGGATCGCTGGTCAGGTATGTGGAGTGGACGATGCAGCACGTGGCATGTAGCAGGTGCACACTTTGTGATCCTAAGTATGCATTCATTGGTTTTTCCACCTCATTAAGAAATTGCAGTACAGGGATTTTGGGCTCCAGGGTTTTAGGTTTGGCTTTACCATGGCTGAACACTCTGGCTCTTTTCTTTATCTTATGGAAAAACCAATCATGGATGAGAAGCAGATTGTTTGTGGTGTTTCCTGATTTCTGGGCTTTGGAGTCTGTGCACAGAGATCCGTTAGGGGTTAAGCTGTGTGTGCTCAGAAGTTTCCAGGTCCTGACTCTTATATGAGACTGGAACTTAGCCCCATTCTGACCAGAGGGGAAGGCAGGAATTGTCTGTAACAGATCCCAACTCAATGCTCAACAATTTCTTTTAAAATGACTTGAAACCAATTATGAATGCATAGAACCCTGCCCCAGAAAACAGACAGGCTTTGACCTGATGATAATATAATTTTATTTTCAAAAACCCAGAGTAAGCACAATTGGCAAATAATCCTGCACCCCGTTACTGTCAGAGAGTTCTTAAAGCTTAATGACAATGTGAGACTGGAATTATGGCAAGCAACATTTGGAAACCCTAATGTTAATTGGTTTAGAACCAATAACTCCATACAGCAAAATAATTTAAGAGTAACTTCTGCAATTATTTCATACTGGTGGGTTTACTGAGAAACCTGTTACTTAAAACCAGATGGACTTTTCTAGGGCTGGAGGAAGCAACCAGAAACATCTGCTTTGAAAACCTCCCAGGCCCAAACCATTCTCAGCCTTGTGCTCAAACTTTAGCATGCTTTAGCATGACCCTGTTAAAATGCAGATTGCTGGACTCCACCTCCAGTGTCTGATTTAGTAGGTCTGGTGTGGGGCCTGAGAATCTGCATTTCTAACCTGTTCCTGGATGTTGTTGATGCTGCTGGTCTGGAGACCATGCTTGGTATCCTTTTGGAATCACCTGTAGAGCTTCTGAAAATTAGTGATGCCTGGATCTCACCTCTAGAGATTTTGACGTCATTGGTCCAGGTCCCTGCCTGGCACTGGTACTTTTTAAAAGCCACCCAAGTGATCCTAATTTGTAGCCAAGATTGAGAACCAGTGGGCTGTGGTGTGTGTGTGGGACCTTAGAAAATGGACAAATCCGTCTTCCATGCTGCAGAGCATCTGGAAGAATTTTGTAAGAATATAAAACACAATTTCATAGCCTAATTTTAAAATCTCATTTGTTTTTCAGATTTTCCTCTTTTGGTCTTGCATGCCTTTGAAGAGAAGTTGCAGAGAGAAATTCTCTTCACTACAACTCAGCTGCCCCCAACCTAACCCATGCTGGCACCTGAAATGTGATTAGCCTGCCAGAGGTTTATGCTGGACCAGGAAAGTCAAGTTAATTAACTGTTTTCAAAAAACAACTCTGCATTTTTAAAGAGAAAGTTTTTCTTACTTTACATTTAATTTATTATATTGCTTTTGCTAACACTCTCTGTACCCCCAAAGCCTGCAGGCTGGGTCACCACGGTATTTTTGTGTAACGAGTCTCAAAATGATTTTGGCAATGTCCTCTTAATAGTCAGCATGGTATAAATAACACAGAGCACAGTGTGCATGTCATTTGGGAGTTTATGTCCGATTCTCTAAGTTCACTTGCATTGTAATGCCCAAGCACCCACATACCCAGTGGCCATGGTTTCACATGGATTTGGAGAAAAACTGATCCAAAAATCATAATTTACAGCAGACTGGCTCCATACAGGTGAGATGACTTGCCAAAGGTCACTTCTCTTATCAAAAACACATCTAAAATGTTATCTTTTAGCTATTGGCTCTCATTTTATTAGTATAGAAAAGGGAATCCCTAGGACCTTGTGGAGAGGAGATGGACTCTTTGTTCAGGCTCAAAGGAACTGAGGAGTAAGACACTTTTATCAGGTAAAATTAGATCTGCACATGGGGGCCGGCCCGGTGGTGCACTGGATAAGTGTGCCGCTTGGGAAGCGCGGCGGCGCTCCCGCCCGGGGGTTCGGATCCCACATACAGACCGGTTCCCGCTCACTGGCTGAGCGAGGCGCGGGAGCAACACCGAGGGTTGCAATC